ACATCACACCATACTGGCGTTTGTCTCTGGAATCTTCTTCATCCTGTCAGGTACACTTCCTCTTCCTCCTCTGTCTTTCTGACCTGTCTTATTTGTCAGACTGATGTTTGTCTGTCTCTCAGGTCTGTCTCTGGTGGTTGGTTTGGTGCTCTACATCTCCAGCATAAATGACGAGATGTTCAACAGGACCAAGAGTAATGAGGCGTATTTCAGCTATAGGTACGGCTGGTCGTTTGCGTTCGCTGCCATTTCCTTCCTGCTCACTGAGGTAAAAAGCTCTTTCATTCAGACACTACCATCTACTGTCATTCTTCTCTCACTTTTCTCCATTATTAGGGCATTCGCACAGAATTGAACTTCTATGCGGTTAATACTGCCTGAATGTTTAATGTACTGATTCCATTCAAACGGTGTTTTGCGCATAATTTTAGTCTTTAAAGAAATGTAAGATTAAAGAATGTCAAAGGGTTCAGTGCAATTGAAGCTCTACAGTATATATTTGTGAAATGCTGATGATTACCACATGCTATCATTTAATCTTCCTCAGTTTGACACAAAATCTGCAGTAATGACTGTGCTCAGTGCCTTACTGCTCTTTCTGTTGCAGTGGTAGTGTATATACAGTATGTACTGAGCATTACATACCCAGATGAGTACATTTGTCAAAATGAGCAGTATGCAACAGAGCATACCTACTTGAATACTGAACACTGAACCTCCATTTTCAGTGTGATGAATGAATTGTAAATAGTTCACAAGCAGTCACAATTTTTAACATGTCTTTGATAGGCTCTTAAGAATGTAGGTCTTTCTTGAATCATTTCCCTTGTGAAAAAAAAGAAGTGTGCTGTTAATTGTATTGGAAGTGCACTTTGTAGTGTACTTCAAATCTTAAAAGTATGTTTTTAAATATTGTACTTGCAGATAATTGAATATTACTGAAATAAAAGGCTACTTAAGTTTCTTAACTTTATTTCTTCTTTGTTTCTTAATAGACTTATGTAAGCTTTTTAAAAGTGACCTTTATCACGTCAAAAAGTTTTACTGTAAAGAACAAATTAGTGTTTATATTTTAAGTACTTAATTATAATTGTAACTGTTGTGTGTGTGTATATATATATATATATATATATATAACTTAACCTTCATCGTTAGAAATATTTAATGAAAATTAAATACTTGACATACAAGTTTCAATAGAGATTATATTAAATTTTAGTTTACCATAAATGCTTGTCAGTACATTCAGCAGTATAGCCATATTTAAAACACAGTAAAGCAATTCTGAAACTACTTAAGGATCAAGCACTCAACTAAGTTCAACTAATTGCATTTAATATAAATGTAAACTATAATACTATATTTCTAATACTATAAACTATATTTCATTTAATTGCAAATAACATTCAATTAAGAGTCTGAAAACATTACATTCAGTCCAGGACAGTGTATTCTTTTAAATCATATAAATATAGCCATTATAAATAATCTTTTTAAATATATGTTCAAGTGTACTTTTTTTAGAAAGTTTAATTGAACTAAAGACTGAACTAAGATTTCACAAAACTGAAAAAAAAAGCAAAACAGTTTTATTTCCAAGATAATGATTAGAAGCCACATGCTGATTTAAGCATGCAATGTGATGAGATCATGTGACAAACTACATTAGGTCATGCGACAACAATGCAGCATGCATGCATGCTTAGTAGCCCAATCTTAGTATATCACCCTGTAGCCCAAGACTGGTTACCCACTGAAGCTAAGCAGGGCTGAGCCTGGTCAGTACCTGGATGGGAGACCTCCTGGGAAAACTAGGTTGCTGCTGGAAGAGGTGAGCGCTATATAAATGTAATTAATTATTATTATTATTATTATTTCATAATTATGGCAATTACTAGATGACAACCTGGGACGATTTAGCTGTTCACATCCTCAAACTTGGAATTATGAGACCCAATACTACTGTTTGAAACGTTTATTGTGGAATAATGCCTGTTTCACTTACAGTTCAAAACTCACTGTTTCACTTACAGGAAAATCTCCCTCTGACCTACACAGTTGACTCACGTCATCCTTGCTCAGTGCATTGCGTGTTAGCCCAGACTCTTGTTAGCTCTTTCGTTTGCTTTCACTATTGTATTTTCACTGCTTTCCTTTGAAACCTTTTAAAAGTGCACTTGTGTGAGCCTATCTGCAATGATTTTCATCTCAATGTCAAATGGCACTTGGCACCCCATAGTGAATTACTTGCCATTTATTTATTAATTAAACACTTTTATTGCATATAGATATTAGTCTCTCTCTCTCTCCTTCTGTCTATGTTTCGTACAAAGTTTCTAAATACATTTTACCTTTTTACATAAACCATCAGTCATCATTAGTCATAATCAAAACTAGCTTTTCTGTTCTTGCCTAGTATTTCCTTCAGGAAATGTTTTCTTCTCTCTGTTCAGAGTGCAGGTGTGATGTCTGTCTACCTGTTCATGAAGCGTTACACAGCGGAGGAAATCTACCAGCCCCACCCCAGCTTCTACCGGCCGCGCCTGAGCAACTGCTCCGATTACTCTGGTCAGTTCCTTCAGCCCACCGCCTGGACGCGGGGACGCAGCCCGTCAGACATCTCCAGCGACACCTCGCTCCAGATGAACGCCAGCTACCCTGCCCTGCTCAAGTGCCCTGACTACACCCAGGTGTCTTCCTCTCCCTGCTGAAGCACAGGGAATGAGTTCAGTGTTCATCAGAACTGAGTTTAAACATATATGTGTGTCTTTGCCTTATGATAGGGAACAGACTGATAGAATGTATGATTGTAATTTTCCTGTTCTGTAGTGAGCTTGAACTGATGACTTTGTTCCAGCAGGTGGCAGTATAGTATTCATCTCTGATGAATAGTGTGATTCACACACTTAAGATGTATAATCATTGAAGTTTAATGTACAACTGAGTGTCGATCCATGTAAATATGTATGGTGCTTATACAAATATGAATTGTAGCCGTTATGGAACACTAGCCTTCAACTAGATCAATATGCTTTCAAGAATAGCCTAAATGTGTATTATATATGTATTGTGATATAATATCTATTCGTATCAAATTGTATTCTTATAGAGGTTGTTCTGACAAAATTATTAGTAAATAAGTGCAGAAATTGTCTTTATATCTATAGAACAAAATGAACATGCAATTTACATATAATGGATAAAATACAACGGAACAAATGTACCATGAATCTCACTAAGATCGTGTATTATTGCACAGCTGAAATGAAACGTATCAAAAGTAGAACAACTGTAAAAATTAAACTGCCAATCTTTTAAATATTTGTGATGAGATTGTAATAATATAGTTGTCCACAGCTTACTTTAATTTCTTTTCTGCCATTAATATAAAATGGACCAAACTGAAACGGTTCTTTGTAGACATTCAACATTTCTTTGGTTCATCCATGTTTGATAAAACATAGCATAACACAGTACAGTATACATATATTACAAACGTTGCTTTTCTCATGTTTATTTTTATGTAAAGCATGTATCTGAAGTGTTGTTTTGTGTTTTTTCATAGCTATGATGACGCTTTTTACATTAATATTTTGTATTGCATTTACAGTGCAATGGATATAATCTATACATGTTACAAACCTTTCCTGGTTTTGCTTAATTCTTCAGTGGCCATCCTTTTATTACGGTAGATTCCAGCTCCGCTTACTCTTGGCTCCTCAAAACCAGCTTTTCACTGTTCATATCACTTAAATACACTGAAACTGTTCGATAGAATGTGATTTAGTGCGATTTCAAAAAAGTAGTGTGTTCATTTTATGATCAAAGTTGGATCATATAGCTCTGTGTGATGTGTGAGGGGAGGAAAAATCACTCGTGAAACGTTTACCTTTATGAATGTTTTATGTATTTATATTTAATGTACAGTTTGACCAATAGCTTATACAGACATATAAAAATTAATCTGGAGCCCCAAAGGGCATTGGAGATAGTATTCTGCCCTTGGACAGGGCTGCTATTTTACAACCACATATAAATGGCTACTGGATTAAAAAAACAAAACAAAACAAAACTTAATTTTCCAGAATTGCAAGGTGTTTTTCCCTGACAGAAGTACATTAGTTTAAGGCTGCTGAGCAAAGAGCCCTAACATTAAAAAGCCAGTAGATTTATATGCTACAGATTGTACTTACACAAAAAAAAAGACAAATGTTTACAGTATTTACACATAACTTAGATCTATAGTTTACCAATTATGAGTAGAATAAAATCATTTCACGAAGAAAATAAATATAAAAAGATATTCAACTATACTTGTCATAAGAACACAAAAGCAAGCAAATTCATTCAAATTACATCAACACATCATAGATAGTGTTATCTAAGACCAGAATGGAAAGGTTAGAAACTAAATGTATGTGTTCTATATTTGCTGTTTCTTACTCTAGCAACATGAAATCAGTCCAGCTGACTCCAGACTGCCACCTAGTGTTAGCATTGGATCATTAATGTCGATTTGAGCTTCTAGTGCTGAGGTCACATGCACGCAGGAAGTCTTAGCACCATACGAGATAACAGCCACGCAGGCTTATTAGGGCCTTTCGCACCGCGGGAACCTTTTCATAGTACCAGAACTAATTGTGGAACTACCCACTTTTTGGCGTTTTCGCACCGCCGGAACTGGGTGTGATTTTAGTACCGGACTGCCTTTTTCGAGAACCAAATTAGCTCCTACTCCGGAGTTTAAGTCACTTCCTTGTTGGCCTCACAAGAGAGAGCGGGAGATTGCCGCTTGGGCAAGAATGGCTTATATTTCCAAAAACCTGCAGCACTCGGGCAAACAAAAGTGCGTACGTCTGCTCAGACCCTGACGTGGCGCTACGCTCTTTTCAACGTCAAAGACCGTTTTTATAAATATGAACGTTGCCGTGGATTTTTGCGTACGCACACTCTACAATCAAATCTGTGCATACACACGTTTTATAAATGAGGCCCCAGGACTCTCGAGTGAGGTTTTCCAGGTTTTCCGAGGTCCAGGTTTTCACACCAACATCCATGCAAATACAAACAGAGCAGGACAGCTGTGTTTTTGTACGAATAGAAACACAAGAAAGGAACTATAAACATGAATTCTTCCGCTGCTGGGCCCGTCAAACACACACTCGCACAACGGCTGTCCCAGAAGGCAGTGTGTGTTGCAGGCTTTGGGGAAGCGGTTTGGATGCAGATTTCACTTCTTGTTGGCGATTCGTCTCTTCCTGGTGGCCAGCATGTCATAGAAGGGGTCCCGGCTGATGCTCGCTCTGAAGGAACCAATTAAAGGAGATGTGAGGAGAGGCAGAGAGACTTCGGCATCTTTGATATGGAAATGTAGCACATAATATACACTACACACCCCTGTCTTAACTGCATCATAGAAAGTAGTTTGTTCAGTGACCCAGTTTGGTTTCCATGGTTTCTGAGGGCAGACCCCGCCCCCATTTAACCCCGCCTCTCATTTTTGATGGGCGTTTCAGTGCAAGCTGACCGCTAAGGCCACACCTGCTAAGATTAAAGGCTGATCAGCGACCGATATCTAACGTTCCTGTAAGGGTGAGTGCTCTACAAAGAGCTCTATGAAGAGTCATAAATGCTCTGCTGATGTTGCCTCAGTTTTCACGGCTAGAAATCTTGTTAGCACTGCTCATAGTGTGAAACTCATCCTCCACTGCAGGAAGTGCTTCTTTCGTTGTGAGGAGACTACAGCTGTGTTAGCTGCCTATGTAGACAGCATTTTAAGGCATCACATGTGCGCTCCAGACACATAGATGGCAACATTATGCTGCTTTATAAGATACCTTGCCAAAATCTGAGGCGGCATCACATGTATAATTCATTTACTAGGTAATCCCATAATGCACTGTGATAAACTCAGTGTAAAATGTACTGTATTTAGTTTAATGCTATTTATTTTTCATATGTATTACAATATTGTGCTGTTAGCTTAGCAACATGCTAATGTTACAATCTACTGGAATGACAAGTGACAAACACTCTTGTTGTGTGTGTGGCATGAGTTGCCTCTTGTGAAAAGAAGTACACTTTAGCATACTTTTAAATCAGTGTGCTTTATTTCCAAGTTAAAAAATACTTTTTAAAGGTAAAACTTTGAATTTAACCCTATTACTTTTTAAATAATGGAATTACAAACAGTCATGAAGGTGTACTAAATACACTTAAGTGGGCTTTTATTCATTCATATTATTTTATCTGCAAGTACAGTTCTGTGCAGCTCACTAGGTTTTAGAACAGAGCTATGCTCTTCCTTTTTTGAAACTATCTCCCTCTCTAAAAAAAAAGAAAACACTAAAAATAGTTGAGTTCTTGGAGATGCAGAGCAGAATGAGTATTCTTTGTATCTTTGTTATGCAGAGGCTGCTGAGTGTGTTTGTTTTTGAATGTGTTTCATTTCCACACTCTAAGTTCGGAATAGTATAGTATTTCTTTAGTATGTAATATCTGAATCTGAGTTTTTGATTGGACTGTCACAAATTAAAATTAAAAATTAAAAATGCAACAATTACATTTTTTTCCCCAAAATTCCAGTAGCAAGTCCAGGGGGCGGGGTTGGATCCACATCTAGGGGGTGGAGATGGGTGGGTTTAGGGATCAGGGGGTGGAGACGGGTAGGTTTAGGTATATGTAAAGTGGGAGGAGTTGGATCTGGATCCAACCTTGCTCCCTGGATCTTGTGTGGATGTATGAGGATGTCATGCCATATTGTTCATGTATTATTTTTTCAATTGCTGTTAGTAGGCTATATAGGATATACTATACGGCTTTAGCAAGTAATTATCTATTTCGAAAATACCCTTAATCTTTCTAAATATTTCTGCACTAATTCTAGGGAAGCATCTTAAGAATTCTGCTGAATGGATTTTAAATGTGTTCAAATTAAGTTCTACATTCTAAGTTGCGTGGGCTCAGATTCTGCACAGCCATACCCATCAGCTACACTGCCATAACTTATTTCTGCTGAATGACTTAAAACCCATGGGAAGCCCTTGTTTTTGTTCCTGAGACTGCTTCCAAAGCGTGACTGAATGGTCCTCTATCCTGAGCACATAAAGCATGATTACAGATAAGCAGATAAGGATTGTGGGTCATAACTGTGCCGACTAGGCAAAATGTGCTTGTGATAAACCCCCTCATCCTACAGCATGTCTCTGAGAGGTGAAACACGCTAGTGCTAGGCCTGGATTAGCGGAGAGAACAGGTCTGCAACAGGTCTGTTGGTCCCGCTGGAGTTGATGGCTTGTGGGGTGGTTAAGCTCTGACTAATCTCCACTGATGCCCCATGAAAACACTGGGCTGTTGATGAGGGGGAGGTACAGGGGTTTTGTGATGAGACTGATATTTCTTTTCAAAACACCATCATGACTAGTGCTGTTAAAATCCATTGATGTCCCAATATGAACCAAACCACAGCTGATAGCTCTGTTCCAGAAAATAGTGAGGTGAAACTCACAAAACATGTCAATAACATGTCTGGGTCTGCGACCATTAAGTTTTTTTGCTGGGTTAAATAAAAATAACATTTTACTACAGTAATGAGAATCTAATTTGTGAATCTGATTTGCTATTGTAAAATGGATTTGAAACCAAATGTGCTGTATAAATCACTATCCAAATAAACTTGACTCAAAATTTACAAAACAATTACAAAAAAGCAAGCGGAAATATGTTTAATGCTCATAAAAAATAATCTCACAAAGCAAATAAAAATCTTTATGGTCCTAAAAGACCTTTATTTTATTTACCCAAATATACAGTTGTTTATTTTTTTTTATTTTTTGGAGTGTAAATTATCACTAATGAGGCGGTCATGGATGTTTTTTATCGATGCATCAAGAAAACATGCAAACACTTGTAGAAGCAAGCTAAAATGCCATGGTTGCTTCATCAAATGAGTTTTTAACTCAGGTTTGCTTTGGTTAACATTAGGGCTTTCAAAATGGCTGAAAAACTAAATTCGAAATTTGTACTTAAATATTATTAAAATTCGAAATATATTTGAATTTAAAATGCATAATTTCAGTTAGGGTGAAGAAAAGCTTTTGGCTTCTCTCCTGAGGCCACAAGAGGGCGTATCGAGCAAAATATTACTAATGCACGTTTATTCAAAGTGCATAATGTTTAAAATAATGTTTATAAACCAATTATAATTAATTAAGTTGCTTAAACAACTATAAACAAAACAGCATCATGTATGTATGCATATTTAAAGGGGTCATATGATGCTATTTTAAAGATCATTATTTTGTGTATTTGGTGTAACAGAATATGTTGACATGCTTTAATGTTCAAAAAACACATTATTTTTCAAATACTGTACATTATTGTAGGTCCTCTATGCCCCGCCTCTCTTTTTTTTTTAGAAATAGCCTTTGTGCACAGCCAGCCTTGTACTCTTCTAGGTTCAAAAAACTGTCGTCCATAAAATGCGTTGCACAAATTCGAACATCTGGGTTGTGCTGTTCTGTTGTAGGGTCATTCTATGGAAACGTCCATTTTTCTGTCCCTAGCCTTTACAGAAATATTACACTTGAAAAACAATTTAGTGTTACAATTTTTTGAATATTTTAAAATAAAACAGTATGTTATTTGAACAATTACACCTTCTTGAACCATCTATGTGGCAATATTTGTTTTTAATTAATTATAAAAGATTCCAATCACCACAAAACTGCTCGTCCCCACAGCCATGTACAGAGGGAAAGTGCTTTATTTTGAGGTCAAAAACAATACCATGATTGACAGCATGTGGTTTGATACCTTGCAGCAGACATTTTGTAAAATGCATTTTTCATGAAAATTGTCACTGGTGTTACTGTCACTGGTGTTACCTTTCTTATGGGTAACACCAGTGAAGATCAGTTTATGGTTATGTTCTTTTACTAACTGCTTTCTCTAATTGCCAAATGTATGCCAAACGTAACAACTGAGTCTTAACTACTTAATTATAGTTGAAGAATAAGGATCTTTGGTCTTATGTATATGTCACTGGTGTTTCATTGTGTCACGACCAAAACGCCATAAAGTCTCGAGATATGTTTTTTCAAAGTTAAACTTGCATTAATTTTACATGGCTTTCTAAACATGCGGCTATTTTGTGCAAGATGCGAGTGCAACGGTGATAGATGTCCCGCTAGAAAATGCGCAAAATATGTGTTCTGTGTAAACGGCTTGGTTTTAGTTTTGATGTAAACAAGATCTTCTCTGCATTGATGTTCTCTTTTTCCTCAATATTTTGAATGAACAACGTAGCAGCAGTGAAATAAATTTATGTAAAATGTATTTACATAAATAAATCTTAACCAATGATTCCTAATTGCATCTACTTCCGGAAGGCCAAATAATGTGCTTTTGCTTTCGCACTGAATCACACAGTGTCTCCCTGAAATTCTAATTTTTTTTTGACAGCCCTAGTTAACACTATTGGTTAGGTTTAGGGTCAGGTTTAGTGTGAGAGGAACATTATGTGTAATGTCATCACTGTATTTCTTCAGCAAGTGGGTGAAAGCCAGTGATGCGAGCACTGAACAAGACTATTTAATGATTAGAATATGTTCAATAGGAAGGAAATCCTACTTAATGGATTTGATCCATTCCTCCTTCTCCTCTGGTGTGGGTGCTGATATCCTGTAGACGACGTGGTTTCCCTCCACTACCCTCCCATCTGCCTCTGTCTTACACGCCTTGATCACCTGCCCTTTATGGTTGGGATTGTACAACTCGAAGCAGTTCTACATGAGGAGACATAACATGCTGTAAGGCATGATGTTTTCATGATTCCGTACAGCTCTAACCTTCGAGTTTGTTTGGGCACTCACAGGTTTCCGGGGCTCCTCCACCTCTCTGATGCTGAGGTTCTCCAGAGGAATAATTCCACGTGGTTCCTTGTCCTGTAGGCAGGAGAAACCCATCAAAATGCATCTGGGATGAGAATAACCCCTCAACCAAGTGTGCCAAATCCTGTTCCTGGAGATCTACCTTCCTGCAAAGTTCAGCTCCAACCCTGATCAAACACAACTGAACCAGCTAATTAGGATCTTCTGGAGCACTTGATGATTACAGACAGGTGTGTTGGATCAGGGTTGGAACTGGACTCTGCAGGTATGTAGATCTCCAGAACAGGATTGAGACCCCTGGTGTACAGTACACCCTAGAAAAGACGTACTTAACAACACAACAATAACAAAAACTCCTTACTGTTGTGTACTCAAAATAGTACAGGCAGTTGTCAGTCAGAATAAACCATCTTCTCTTCCAAGTTTTTACACGTCCTCCTGCAAAGAAAATTAAACAGAACTGATGAACCATCAAAACAAGGCCAGTGACCCAGTTTCTGAGAATAACATACACCTCCTGTTTCTCATTTCAGGAATATCATCAATAATATCTTCTGGTATAACACTAATTTATTTGCAAATTATCTTGCCAAGTTTAGTTCTGCATCATCACAGTCTAAGATATTTTCTTAAAAGTTTTTCAGCGCTATGTTATAATATTTTTTCCTGTCCCATTTTAACAACTCTCTGTAAACTATGAATTGGTTGAATTCCTTAAGAGTTTGAGATTGTCCTAAATACCAGCCTCAGCCCTTGTGGTCCTTATTCGAGTGACATAGATCATCTCCAGTGCAAGCTCTGCAAAAGGACACACTGAAACCATGAAGAGGCACTCTGGATTACTCTTCCGATTCATGACAAATAGGATACTATGATCTAGTGGACTTCATGGACACTTGCAATTGAAGGCCACAGGACCACAAGTCTACATCAAGTACACCATTTAAGACAGATGTGGCCTGTGGCACTTCAGAACAATGCTCTGTTGGAGCGGTCGGATATGTCAGTGGTGTAAGTCTGGGCAGGACTACACATTTCTTAAAACAATGGAAGATGGCAGACCAATATGGAAACTCATTTGGAAACAGTTAAGCCTTGTTCAGACTGTCAGTCCAAATCCAATTATTTGTGTATCCGGTTGGAATCTGATTTAAAGGGGGGGTAAAATGCTGTTTCATGCATTCAGAGTTGTTTACACTGTTAAAGAGTTGGATTCTCATGCTAAGCATGGACAAAGTTTTAAAAAACAATTTGGACGTATGACAGAGTATTTCTGTGCCAAAAATCTTACTTCTGGGTTCGTACAAGTTTCGGAGAGTTTTTTTCGATTGTGGCTCTTCATGACATAAACGAGGGTGGAACTCCTTATATGGGTATTTCTCCCGGAAGAACGCGCCCGCGCACGCATTGACCAGAGCAAGAGCGAGATCGCGCCCCTAAACGCACTTCATCCGGCGGCAGCGCTGCACGAGACTCGCTCGGGAAGAATGTCTCCAATCCAAAGAAGTGTGTTTTTGGTTGTAAGGGAAAGATAACTTTGTTCAGCTTCCCGAAGAATCCAGCGTTATGTAAACAGCGGATGCAGTTTGTTTTCCGGAGCAGCAACGGAGTTTCACAAGTGTGTTTGTTGACGAACGTTTTATAAACAAGGAGATTGGGTGAAACTGTGTGTGTTATGCCCCCTTTAAATGATTGACTGTCCACACTGTGTTTCACAACTGTTCAGAGCCGATTTGTGTGTCCCGTGGCACTCTTACTAAATATTTGCATTGGTTTCTATGGCAACGACACTGCGTTGCTTTGCCTACGCTAAAAAACAACAATAACAGCAATACAGTTTGCAGTACAAATGTTGTCTTACAACATGACGACGTGTTGTTGTCGCGCTGGATGATATGAGGCAGCGGCAGAATAGGATTTTAATAGGATTCAAAACCACATATGAATGTAGCTTGAAACAGATTTGTAAAAAACTGATTCAATGTGATTTTTTTTTTTCACACTCACTAAATATGATTAGATTCCAATCGGATATGCACAAAAATTGGATTTGGACTGACAGTCTGAACAAGGCTATTTTTGCAATTCTATTTGGATCGCTTGTGGTGCCTTTAACATTATCTTCAAGAACTGAAGTGGAGATTCCACATGGAGATTCTCTTGAATCTTTCAGAAAACAACACAGCTCAAATCTGTGAATTCTTGACTGCTCTGCCACAGAGCACTTGCCAAGCACAGAGGCCAGTGCACAACCCCAACTCAATTTCATCTCGGGACCACAGCAAGCGAAAGCAGAAATGTCTGGGAGCAATGCTACAATGAGAGAAGTTATTTGAGACAGATGTCAAAGAGAGCTTGGATCACAGCGCTACCCTTATTTGGTTTATTCTTCAGAAACAGTCGTGCAAGTCTTTTACAAAGAAGACAGACTTTACAAGAGTGTTCTAGATTGTATTTTTCGATTGAATTAGACACAACGTCTCATGCAAAGCATCTCTCTCGTGCACCCCCACACACTGCATGTTCTCATATACATTAAAGCCTCTGACTCATCTACAGTCATATCTTTCCCCTGCTGTATTCTAGAGCTAGCGGCACTCTTCTGTTCTGTTTTTGCCTGAAATAACATGGTGTATCCAGCACAATGCTGCCGCAGGCTTATCTACCGCCTCTCCTGACTCCAACATCTCCAACCCACAGATGCTGAACGCAACAAAAACGCATGGAATAGAGTGAGATTAGAGTCGTGCTATCTGCAGTTCCCTACTTGCAATTCTATTCCCATGTCGTACTTTCACTGTCTCTGATGTTCATCTGAATGACGCCACCTCAGTCACAAAAGATGGCAGCATGAGAGACATTCAAAGCACTAATGCAGCTCATGGCAATGAAGGCCACTCACAGATGGGAAATGAGGGTCGTCTCTAGGGTGAGAGATCACAAGTGATGTTTCACGGTTTGCGGCTCTCGGTGAGGGAGCAGAATGGTTGAAGGACGATGACACAATCCCAATGACTCTATTAACACATGCAAGCTTCTGTTAGTTCTGGTAACATACAAAAAATAAAACCTTAATATAACTCCTATTTACTACTATACACTCCCATTTATTATAGAAATTATTGTATTAAAGGGGTCATATGATGCTATTTTAAAGATAATTATTTTGTGTATTTGGTGTAACAGAATATGTTGACATGCTTTAATGTTCAAAAAAAACATAATTTTTCAAATACTGCACATTATTGTAGGTCCTCTATGCCCCACCTCTCTCAAACACGTCGTTTTCAACAAAGGCCCCTCCTTTGACAAGCACAGTCTGCTCTGATTGGCCAGCTGAACCAGTGCATTGTGATTGGCCGAACACCACAAGCACGCGTCGGAAATGTAACGCCCCTTACCATAATCGCTAGCTTCAGCTTTCAAAGTAAATATCAAGACAGTTAATAATGTAGTTAGTTTTACCATCAGTTCAAGCCCGAAAGGGCAACAGAGTCGCGTGACAGACACAGTGATGATGCAGTACACAAGCCGCGGTTAAGACAGCTGACGTGCTATGATTTCTGACAGGCAGTTCACTCTCCTGGGATGTGACCCTGTTCCCCTCTCACACACACACACGACGCGTTCGTTTTAGGTAGGCGTGGTTGACTCTTAACTTTTATAAAGAATATCTCTTTGGATTTGAGACTTTAGTCTTTGCAACTTTACAGATCTTCTTTATGCACCAAGAGCTTGTAACACTCCAAAGAGAAAGGAAAACTTGAAATCGCATCATATGACCCCTTTAATATAACTCCTATTTACTACTATACACTCCCATTTATTATAGAAATTATTGTATTAAAAAATCTCTGCATTTCATCTCTGCTCTAGCTTGCTCCATGACAAATTGTTTGTGATGTTCCTCATTATATCGCTTTGGATAAAAATGTCTGCTAAATGAATAAATGTACCGTTGTTTTGGCCAGCAGAAATTGCAAGTAACAAACTTTATAATTCATAACATTTAACACATATGTAACTTGCTCCAACCTGATATTTATGAAGAATCTCATCAAAACCTTATAGTTTTAAAGACTTTGTGACAACTTCCCTGTGATAACAGAGAAATAATTGCTGTTGATATAATTAACAGGAAATTAATATAGATACTGAACTTATGGTCACATTATTTGATTATTTCTTAACATTATTGAGTTATATAGAATATTTAAATAAATTCAACCTATAAATTTATCTTTTATTTTTAATCCGTTTTTACAGATTTTGTCCATTGAGCAATAATGTTTTGGTGGTTATGTTCCAAATACTTTGGACCTAAGGTGGGAAAATGATTTTTGGAAGTAGTTCAGTAGTTTTTGAACTTAATTCAAACAAAACAAACAAATACATAATGATACATAAAAAATCATTAAGTGTTTCTCAAGCAAATGCATTCATATTAACTGTTCTCAAGTAAATACATGTTTGTTTTTTATCTAATTTTGTCCTTGCATTTCCTCAGTCGAGTTCAAACATTTCCAGTGTACATTGCCACAAATCCAACCCCGGATATTTTTAGTGAGGAAAACTATAATTATTTGAGTGGAAAAAGCTCCTCACCGCTTACTGCTGAGGGGGACACATAAAGATTGTGTGGGTAGTATGTGTACCTTCATTATTACAATGTATATAGGACTCCTGGGACATTACATAGTAAACAAGGAATTTGTGTGTCCCGAGCCAAACAATACAGCTGAGGTGTGATGCTAAATCAGACCATGTGCACTAAACTGACCTCTGACCCCAGCAGCAGCCAGTCAGAGAAGACAAACCTAACAATATACATATCCCTACAGACAGGAAGTAGGAAGGCCTTGAATGACAGTCAGGAAAGGATAAAATGAAGGTTACAGGAGATGAAAAGAGGCACCAGAGGTTGAGATGAGGGCATGATGGGATAGATCTGTCCTGGTTACGTACCTCCTGTAGAGACAGCCAGTCACAGGAAAGAAAATGAGGGCAGAGGTCAAAGGGCAAAGTGTGTAAGCAAAACAAGAAGGAATGTTCAACATCAATACATGACAAACAAAGCACCACCACAACATACAAATACACATTTAGGACAAAATGACACACATAATGTTAGGAGATGGGAGACGGGACATCAGAAACACACAAAGAGCTGTCATTTGCCTGACAAACAAATAAAAGAGACACATAAATGAAACACAACAACTACAAAACAGGGATTCATTTGTGGATCCAGATCGGCTCCCTCTAAGAAAACTAATCTTGTATAGTCAGACATTGAACTATCGGCATGAAGTCTGGTCCACATTGGAGCTTATTCAATAACTGTACTATAAAACAGTAAAAAATTAAAAAATAAAACTTCTAAACGACAAGTCAAGTCACCAATCATAGATTTGTTTTCACGTGCCATTTAAACGTGGGTTTATCTGAAGTGTTTTTTAAATAATAATGCAGAAAATTTGTATGCACTTACTGCCTGTCTACAAGTACACTATTTCACAGACACAACTCAAAAAACAAAGCTAAACACAGTCGTTTATGGCAACACTTTATTTTAAGGACCAATTCTCACTATTAACTAGTTGCTTATTAGCATGCATATTACTAGCATATTAGCTGTTTATTAGTACGTATAATGCACATATTAATGTCTTATCTTATCTGCATGACCATATTTTAGATCCCTTAATCCTACATCATAACTAAACTTAACAACTACCTTACTAACTATTAATAAGCAACAAATTAGAAGTTTATTGAGGCAAAAGTCATAGTTAATAGTGAGAACTGGTCCCTAAACTAAAGTGTGACACAGTTTACTTTCCACTAAGTGCAAAATCACACTCAAACAATATTTATCAAAGCTCTAACATCTTTTCAGATCTTTTAAAGATTTGATGCCAGTAAACTGCCAAAAAAAGACGAAATACAGTAATTATTTTTCCCCTCAGAAACACTCATTGTGGCACTCATAAACATAGCTCTGTACCCAGGCGGACTGAAAAAAAATTTGTGTAATGTTGTCCAAAGATTAGAGATTACCACATCCATTTTGCATCAGATTACAAAGTAAAATGGGTTGTGAATAGTGTTTCGTTAGTTTACATTCTGCTTGCTTAAAGTTTCAGTTGGGAGTTACACACCATTTTTTCTTATTTATGTGTCCCTTCCTCCCCTGCCAGATCCAATAGGAGCCCTTGCTCCAGCACCTCATAATTTACAAATTAAACTATCACATCACTCCCTGCCTGTGAGAAAGCAAACTCAATAGTAACAGCCAAAAAATACACTGCATACTGCTGTCATCTTATTCTTGTCTCCTTACAATATGTTTCCCTACTAAACTGCACACTTTTCATTAGTGGCTCTAACTCTATTTGTCAGGCGCTCTGTTCCTATGAGACGGTGTACTTCTGCTGAAGGAATCCCTCGCAGTGATGAGAAAAACCCATTAGGATGTTAATGAGCAGCACTGTGTTCACAGCTTTCCCTGACACCACCTACAGGCTCCAACAGACCGCGGCGTAAAACCACATCTCGGCAGAAAATATCAGGGCAAAGGGACTGTAAGAGTCTGGTTCTGACCTAACTTGAGCAGCCAGCCCTCTCGGTCCGGGTTGAAGAACGTGTGTGTGAGGTCGTTGCCATCATCTTCAGGGATTTTAAAGGGCTCGCTCTTGATGCTCTCGTACAGGTTCTGCAAGAGAGAAGGGACGTTAGTGCGCTTAATGTACGCAGATGAGCACATTTACATCGCTGCATCTGTGAAATATTTAAAACAGTCCTATGGCATCTGCTGTATGATCGGATCAGAGGTTTCAAGTCAGTGGCCCAAATAAGACTGGAAGAAGAAAGAGGAGAGTAAATAAAGTTCTTGCAGTTAGTATTAGTAGAGCTTTTTAGCTAAGATGTATGGGACTCGATTGAGCTGGTTAATAATGTTTCAAAACACAGTTTTGGCCACCAAACTGGACTTTTCCAGTGGAAAGAAGATCATTAATGGCTAAATGCATAGTCTATAATTTCAGCATTGGCAATCACAGATCCAGTGTTGGGTCTTTACCCGGAGCAGCTCCTCTGGCAGGTCTCCTCCATCATTAATGCCTCTGTTCATGGAGATGAAACGCTCTACGGCGGGTTTGTCCCGGACGTTGGGATTGTGAAGACTGGTGTTTAACATAATAATGGCAAAGGACAGGACATAACATGTGTCTGCAAAGACAAAACAGATGCATAACTCAATAACTACACATACCACATAAGTCACTGCAGTTACTGCCGGCCAAAGGTTTGGAATCATTAAGACATGTTTTTGAAATAAGTATCTTATACTCACCAAGGCTACATTTGTTTGATTAAAAGTACAATAAAAACAATAATATTATTACAAACTGTTTTCTATTTTAATATATTTTAAAATGTAATTTTTTTCTGTGAATTTTCAGCATAATTACCCACAGTGTCACATGATCCTTCAGAAATCATACACTGATTTGGTGCTCAATTATAAATAATGGTTATTATTATAGCTGAATACTTTAGTTGAATAGTTGAATTTTTGCTGCTTAATGTTTTTGTGGAAACAATGATAATTCTTTTTCAGGATTCTTTGATTAAAAGTTAAAAGAAGAGCATTTATTTAAAAAGAAATCTTTTGTAGCATTATAAAAATTATGCATACCATCATTTTTAATCAATTTAATGCATCCTTGCTGAATAAAAATATTTTTATTTTTTCATTAAAAAAAAATAAAAATCTTACTCCAAACTTTTGAATGCTAGTGTATCACAGTTTCCACAGAAATATTAAGCAGCAAAAACTGTTCCCTGTCGATACTTCACTCGTACTGCGTCTGCTAAGATGCTATGGGAAAAAGTCATTTTTTCTCCTAAACTGAAGCCTTTTTTAATAACGCAGTGTAAGTGCACGGCCATTGGTTCGTGCAGTATACTTTAAAAATGAGCCAATGGCTCTACAGCAGTGCTGCACGAACCTATGGCCACGAAGCCCGCCAGAATGGGTGAGGCCATCTGGCTATATAAGCGGCCGCTTCGCCATATGATTCAGATTAATTCTCCTTCAGCGATGACGATCATCTCTTCGCTGTTCTAAAAGACTGGAAGCCGCTCGCCGTTGACACGCCTCGCTGTGGACAGAAGCTGATTCAGAAACCTGCGCCGCTCTGCTGATCTCGCTCCGCACTTCCAGCCCGAGCCGCTTTCAGTGTCCGAGCAGCTCTCAGCTTGTCCCCTGCTGCTATCCGGTGAGTTCTAAAATAGCAAATTTCTAAAGAGCTTATTTCTAGCGACATTGTTGCAAATGTCGCACTGCGAGTGTGGGGAAGGGCAGACTCCTGTCTGGAGAACACCCACACGGAGACTGCGTGCTCACTGAGACGGAATGCCTTCACTGAGAGCATGAGTCTTGCTCTTCTCCGCTCGCGGTCCGCCTTCTGTGAAGGCAGCTCCGCTCTCCCGTTTCTCCTCTCTCAACAAATCTCGGAGAAAGGAACAACAGAGACACGGAGCTGAGAAACCGGGTTTGAGTGATCCCACGCCGGCACAGAGCCGCGTGCTCGCTCTCCCCGCAGCGCACTGATCCGCCGGTGTGTTTACACGTGAGAATCAGCGCCCCTCGTTGATTCGAGCAGCTCTATCCTCTTAGGCAGATCGGAGTAGAAAGCTGTCACCTCTTATTGCTGACAGCTTTGCGTGTGTGTGCGTCGCTGAAGCTGCACTCACAAAGACAGGCTGCTTTCACCGAAAGCCACCCTACTCTCATGTTTCTCTTCTCCCAGTCACCTCCGAGGTGATGAATTTACTGGCAGAAGGAGCTGTAGAGAGGGTTCTGCCAGCTCAGGGCGAGTCAGGCTTGTACAGCCGTTACTTCCTCATCCCCAAAAAGGATGGCGGCCTAAGGCCCATCTTCAATCTCAGGCACCTGAATCGCGCCCTCATAGACGGCCATTCAGAATGATTACATTGAAACATCCTCTTGCAAGTATGCCCAGGGGACTGGTTCTTTTCACTGGATCTGAAAGATGCTTACTTTGACATCCAGATAGCCCCCCACCACAGGCAATTCTTGAGATTCACCTTCGAGGGAGTGGCTTATCAATACACGGTCCTTCCCTTTGGACTGTCCCTGGCTCCACGCACTTTCTCGAAGTGCATAGATGCGGCTCTTTCCCCTCTGAGGCAGAAGGGAATCCGCATTCTCAATTACCTCGACAACTGGCTCGTTGTCGAGGTCAACAGTCACTATCTCACAGAGCTCTCCTCCTCAGCCACTTGGAATGCCTGGGGCTCAAGGTCAATTTTGCCAAGAGTACACTGTCCCCCTGCCATCGAGTATCGTTCCTGGGAGCAGTGTTCGACTCAACCCAAATGAGAGCGGTGGTTGCCACAGAGCATGCTCTGGTCATACAGCAGCTCGTGGCTTCCTTCAAGGCCGGTACCTCTCGCCCCTTCAAGGCGTTTCAAAAGATGCTGGGCCTTATGGCTGCAGCGCCTTCAGTGCTAAAGTTGAGCCTGCTTCGTATGCATCCCCTTCAGTACTGGCTGAAATCGCGGGCTCCATCCCATGCGTGGCGTCATGGACGCCTGCTTATCAAGGTAGGCCTGTGTAATAGCCCTGACCCCTTGGAAGAATGCTCAGTGGATGGAACGGCGTTCCCCTGGGAATGGTCTTCAGGAGAAAGGTGGTCTCGACAGATGCTTACAAACGCAGGTTGGGCAGCTCTGTGAGAAGGAAAACCGGTCGGAAGTGGAGGACGGTCTTCACATCAACTGCCTCGAAATGCTGGCCGTATATCTGGCCTGTCAAACCTTTCTACCTGACCTGAGGGGACACCACGTTCTGGTCCGCTCATAGAGCATGACTGTGGTGTCCTACATAAATCGCCAGGGAGGGCTTTCCTCGAGACGCCTCTTTGTGCTGGTAGAGCGTCTCCTGGAATGGGCTCAGCTCAACCTGCGCTCGCTGAGGGCAATGCACGTTCTGGGCAAACTGAACCAAAGAGCGGACATGTTGTCACGAAGCAAAGTCCCCTCAGAGGAGTGGATGCTACATCTGCGGACGGTTCAAAAAATTTGGAAGGTCTTTGGCCAGGTCGGAAGTGGACCTCTTCGCCTCAAAAGACAACTCTTATTGCCCAATCTATTATTCCAAGGACAATGATGCATTGGCCCACGATTGGCCCAACCTCCTTCTCTATGCTTTTCCCCTGATCGCTCTGATCCCGCAGGTAATCAGACAAATCAGGGAACAAGAACGCAAGGTTCTCCTGGTGGCCCCGCTCTGGAGAAACCAGCATTGGTTGTCAGAGCTGTCGCAGCTGCTCGTAGCAGCCCCATGGCGGGATCTCCTCTCTCAGGCGAACAGGACAATATGGCACCCCCAGCCTGAGCTGTGGGCTCTGCATCTTTGGCCACTCAACGGGAGCCTGCAAGCCTCCCAGAGTGTGTTCTAAACACCATTTCTCAGGCTAGAGCTCCGTCTACAAGACGCCTCTACACCCTCAAATGGTCGGTGTTCTCCGCCTGGTGCTCAACCCGTGGCGAGGATCCGTCAGTCTGTGACGTATCGTTGATATTGTCGTTTCTGCAGGATCTGTTGGATAAGGGGCGCTCCCTATCCACGCTCAAGGTCTATGTAACAGCTATAACGGCTTCTCATGCCCCTGTAGCAGGCCAGTCAGTGGGCAGGAACAACCTTGGTGTCCGTTTTCTGAGGGGGCTGAAAGCTAGGAGGCTGAATCCACCCCGTCCCCTCACTGTCCCTACGTGGGACCTGCCCACTGTTCTGAGGGCTCTGAAAGGCGCTACCTGTGAGCCACTGTAGTCTGTAGACCTTCGGTCCCTGTCATTGAAAACTGCTCTGCTGCTAGCAGTAGCATCGGTCAAACGAATGGGAGATTTACAGGCGCTCTCTGTGAGCCCTACCTGCTTGGAGTTTGGGCCTGGAGATTCTAAGGTCGTCCTGAAACCGAGGCATGGTTATATACCTAAAGTGCTCTCTACTCCATTCAGGGCACAGGTCATTACACTCGCTGCACTTCCTCTCTCAGAAGAGGACCAGGAGTTGAACTTCCTTTGCCCATTCAGGGCGCTGAGAGTTGACATCGAGCGTTCCGCCCAGTTTAGGCAGTCTGAACAGCTCTTTGTTTGCTTCGGTGGCCGCAATAAAGGACATCCGGTCACGAAGCAGAGACTTTCTAAGTGGATAGTTGACGCTATTACGCTAGCTTACTCTTCCTTGGGCCTGCAATGCCCCATTGGAGTACGAGCCCATTCAACTAGAGGCGTCGCCTCTTCTTGGGCATGGTCTAGCGGCGTGTCCATTGCAGAAATTTGTGTGGCGGCCGGTTGGGCCTCGCCATCCACATTTGCTAGGTTTTACAACCTGGATGTCCCTGCCTTACAAGCTAGGGTTCTTTCTGCATAACTGACACGCACTTGCTTACGCATCACCACTCTGAGCAGAAGTTTGGCTGTAACACGCTCAAACCTATCAGATGATTTACTTGTGTGCTCTCGGCCCTCATGGGTGCCGGGGGTGTGCAAGTCTCCTGGAACGATCACTCAGGCCAGGCGTAACCTCTGTGAGCTTAGCCCGTTCGCCTTGGGAGGTGTTTGCTATTCTTATCCCCTTGGGCCCTGAAGTGCCTAGGACAGGGGTAGGCAAGTTCGGTCCTAGAGAGCCGCAGTCCTTGCAGGACTGCGGCTCTCTAGGACCGAACTTGCCTACCCTTGGCCTAGGATAAGGGTACACATGTAGTCGTTCCTCTGCCAATAGCACGGCGTGATTGTACTGGTTCCCATAGCGTCTTAGCAGACGCAGTACGAGTAAAGTATCGATAGGGAACGTACTCGGTTACAAATGTAACCTCGGTTCCCTGAGATACAGGAACAAATACTGCATACTTAGCTGTGCTATACAGCTGCACGACTCAGTCGTCGCTTCAGTCGAAGTAACCTGAGAATCCTATGGCAACATGCTTATATGCTTATATAGCCAGATGGCCCCGCCCATATTGGCGGGGTCTGACGGGCTTCATTGCCGTAGGCTCGTGCAGCTCCGCTGCCGAGCCATTCTTCAGTTTAAAAGGACTTTTTCCCATAGCGTCTTAGCAGACGCAGTACTCGTTCCTGTATCTCAGGGAACAGGGAACACATTTGTAACTGAGTACGTTTCTTTCCTTGGTTGTTTTTGTTCTCTGGTTTTGTTTTCTCCCCTCGTGGAGTTTTTATTTTCTCATGTGTTTTTATTTTTTTTTCCCGTTGTTTTTACTGTTGTTAATTCCTCAGTCTGAGAATAACTTTTGTTGGATTATTCTTGTGAAGACTGTTTTTTTTTTGTATAAATCTACATTTGTTGGAAT